GGCGCTTCAAAAGAGTGTAATAAATAGCTGCTCTAAAACACCTGTAAGGGGATACCATCCTTCCCTCACCACAAATGTATAACAGAAAAAAGATTATCAAGAAGAAACTTGTTAATCGGTGGGTGGAGTGCTAATTAGTGTATAGGCAGATATTTCCTTACTGAGAAGTTGTATACAATCTTGATGTGGGATGATATGTAAAATAGGGAAACAGAGAAAAACTAGTGCAGATAGTACTTAAACAAAATTCAACACAAAGTAGATATATGTGTGCACACTCACAATTTTCAGAACCTGGGAATAAGTCTCTATATCAATGCAGATGTGCTTTTCTGTAGGCAACACCCCACCTTCTTGAATGGATGAAGAATCTCAAAGTAAACAAGATAATGAGTTATGGTGCAGTATATCTAGATGTATCATAAATTTAAAAATCACTTTGTTTTTAAGGGGACTCTCACTTTACTGAGAGCCCATAGGTGCCTTGGCTCTCAGGTGTAAATGTATGGTGCCAAATTGTGGGATGACACTCCCCTATCTCAAACCTGGAACAGGACTGGATACCAAATATTGGTGGGAATCCACTATCTATTGGTAACAATATTAAAAACAGAAAGTTAAAGGACCACTCTAGGCACCCAGACCACTTCAGCTTAATGAAGTGGTCTGGGTGCCTGGTCCAGCTAGGGTTAACCCATTTTTTTAATAAACATAGCAGTTTCAGAGAATCCAGCCTCTAAAGCCTCTAGTGGCTGTCTCATTTACAGCCGCTAGAGGCGTTTGCATGCTTCTCACTGTGAAAATCACAGTGAGAAGACGCAAGCGTCCATAGGAAAGCATTATGAATGCTTTCCTATGAGACTGGCTAAATGCGCGCACAGCTCCTGCCGCACATGCGCATTCAGCCGAAGAGGAGGAGAGAAGGCGGAGAGGAGGAGGAGAGCTCCCCGCCCGGCGCTGGAGAAAGGTAAGATTGTAACCCCTTCCTCTTCCCAGAGCCAGGCGGGAGGGGGTCCTTGAGGGTGGGGGCACCCTCAGGGCACTATAGTGCCAGGAAAATGAGTATGTTTTCCTGGCACTATAGTGGTCCTTTAATGTAAATATAAAATCAAATAAAAGAAAACGGTTAGTAGTGCAGTCCTTAAGTGCCAATACGCATTTCGCTGGGTAAGCTTCTTCAATTGGCTGTAATATCTTCCAGGTCCAGAGATTTGTTTAACCCCTTAAATACCACGGACATATGAGGTACGTCTGTGGCTAATTTGGTGCTGGAAGTGATCGTGATGGGGGTAAATTACATTGGCTGGCTTCACAAATGTCCCAAATACCATATGGTTTCATGATGACCAGCTGTGAAAATTCCAAGTTGGAAAACTGGAATGCGCACCCTCCAAATAAGGTCTTTTAGCCCCCAGTGAACCTGACACACCTGTACTTGGGTGGTGTCACTGTACTCAGGAGATGTTGCTGAACACATATTGGGGTTTTCTTTGGCAGTAACCCTTAAAGTTCTCAGTACATGTATTCTTAAACTGCTATGTGTGTCAAAAAAAATCACCAATTATTATTATTTTTGTTAATTTGGCAAAGATTGGTGGTAAAATGGTTGCATGAAAAAAGCATGAAAAGAGTCAAAATACCCCAAGTTTAATAGGTTGTCTTGCAGACCCCACGAACTGTCACAGTTTGGTTGGGTTCTCACCCTCTCCTACCCACCTTGGACCTACGACAAGACTCCAGTGAGTGAACCTCTCTTCCTTCCGAGAGCGAAGCAGGAACAAGCTCTTACATGTCTTTATACAGTAAATGTCTAGATCAGTGAAGCTAAGGAAGTATACAGAGTATAGCAATCCCTGTAGTGATTATAGCTGTCCCCTCCAAACACAAGATGAGGCTGCGAGTTGAGGGTCAAGTAGAACTGAAGGTTTAATGGTACAGCTGCTCTTTTATACAGTTTTTCCCCACAAGGTTACCACCTGGGTGGACCTTGTGGGGCACAGAACATGAAATTCACAATCCAATAAAAACAGAGTTTTACACTCAGTCACTCCCATACAGTGTACACAATCCCTCCCCTCTGCCTGTGATACAATTAACTAAGACAATGGACTAACACAATTAACTCTAAGTAGAAAAAACATAAATTTTTACAGCCCACAAAGTACCCTCATCTCCTGATAGCCCCGATCTCGGTGAACAACATATCTAAAAATCACCCCGATCGGTTCAGGGCTTTCCTAGAAGTCTTATTTTTGCCCACCATGCACATAGTACCATGCTCAAAACAGTTCCATATACTTGACGACAAAACACTGCTGGACAATTTAAGATGGCCGTCGCCACCACATGTTTGAATCTGTTCCAGTTTAAAGTCCAAGGGGATATCACAGGGCCCATAGTCCCAGAGTAGGAGGCTGGCAATCAGGCCCCTCCAAAAGCCATTGGCGAAGTGCAGTTCGTCACAGAAACATCCTCAAATTGTTTAATATGTGCATTAGGAAACAAGAGACGCAACCGGGTTCCTTATAGACAAAATTATATCGTCTGCAAAGAGCCCAATCTTATGAATGACACCACCAATTGCAACATCCTCTATCTACAGGTCATTCCTAATTAGTTCGGCCAGGATATCCATCGACAGAATAAATAAAAAGGGGACAGGGGACAACCCTGTCTCGTACCCTTAGTAAGTGATAAAATTTCTGAGGTGAAACCCGTGTCCGACACTTGAGCTGTAGGATGATGATACAGAGAAAATATTGCATTTACTAGTGGAGTTGTAAAACCAAATTTGAACAAAACCTCTTTCAAGTATCCCCCGGTGTATTCTATTGAAATGCCTTCTCTGCATCCAATGAAAGAAGCAGTGAAGGCGCACGATCTGTTCTAATTTGATGAATAATATTGATAAACCTCCTAGTGCCATCTGTGGCTTGTCTGTCTAGCACAAATCCAGCCTGATCGTTTTTAACAAGTTTAGAGATGTTTTTGGCTAACCTAGAAGCCAAACCTTTGGCATATAATTTGGTATCATTGTTGAGCAACAAAATGGTTTTTCACTGTTCAATCCATTTGATGTTTTTTCGTGTTTTTTTTTTAACATGTTGTAGACTTCTTTTAGCAATAAAATGATGTGAGAAATATGATATATTTTTTTAAATCTTCTTGCAGTTCTGGACTTTGTTGCTCAATACCACAAAGGGCTTTTCAGTTAGGCAGCCACCTTGGTTAAGTCACGCCCCCTCAACCCCTACCTGCTTCTTTGTTCTTATGCTTTCCACACCCACTCAATGGGAAACACTGATCTAACCAATCAGTGTCCTATCCCTAAGAATGCTGAAAAAATGCAATGGGCAGGCCTGACAGATTTACACATGTGCAGTTGGAAGATATCTTCATCTTGCACCATTCTAACAGGGGGAGAACAGAAGGAGTCTGATCAGTGTGATCATAAAGAGCAGTCTGTGGTATCTGGCTTCGCTCTCCTTTTGCTGTGCAATGATGTAATGTTTCTGTCATTAGTGGACTGCCCTGAAACTAACATGGGTTAGTAAGGGAGGGAGGCTAAGGAAACTAGCTACGAGATGTGTGCAATAAAACAATCTTACCAAGTTTATAGTAAGTTTATAAACATTGTTACATATTTTTGAAAGTTTTCTATGCTTTTTTTCAGTTTGGATATTTGCTCAAAAGTGTTTGCTTGCTGGTTTAAAAAAAATATTTGTCAAGTGATGCATGCCCCTTTAAGGACAGTAAGGATGATGAGCGGCGTGAATGGGAATGAAAGTTGCAAATAAAAAAAAACACATATCCCAATTTTTTTTCTGGTTTACTTGAAGTGACAAAACAAATGCATGACCATGCCATACATCAATCCTCATTCGATAACTGTAAAATTATCTTGTTCCAAAACAGCAAACATACCTAAAAAGCACTTTAAAGCTTATGTAGACTT